GCGTTGTCATGTTTCCTCTTAGGTCTCCTAATATTTGATTGATGTATCTTTATAATGCCATGTTATGAGAAACAGCCTTGTTCCTGACGCTCCATTCACTCTCAACAGAACCACCATCTCCGAATGCAACAGTTATATATACCTAGGTCGAAAAATCAACATGATGAATGACCTGGCACCTGAGTTGCGCAGGAGGAAGAGAGCAGCTTGGAATGCCTTCAAGAGCATTGAAGAAATAACTAAAAGGACAAAGAACCTCCAGCTACGAGCATATCTCTTTGATTCCACTATTCTTCCTGCATTAACATATGCCTCAGAGACCTGGACCCTACGAAAACAGGATGAGAACGCTATTCGGGTCTCTCAAAGAGGAATCGAAAGAACTATGCTTGGAATATCACGATTCACTCAAATGAGAGATAGAATCCGGAGTTCTGATCTTCGTCAACGCTCAAGAATTAGGGACGCTGTCTCATTTGCCAAGACATCAAAAATCAGATGGACTGGACACATAATGAGGTTTACAGACAACCGCTGGACTAGAGCCATTACTGATTGGATTCCACGGGACATCAAAAGATCACGTAGACGCCCACCTATAAGATGGTCAGACTTCTTCGTCAAGACCCTAAATGATCGGTTTGAGGCTCTGCATGTTCCTAGAACGAACAGATACCATTGGGCTACGCTAGCACGCAACCGGGATGAATGGAGACATTACTGGCACCCGCTCGAATAAATCGATGAATAACGGGGATTAAGTGATTAAGTGATTAAGTGATAATGCCATGTTGGGTGCATATATGTTAATGTTGTCTTCTAGATGGATCAATACTTTTGTTTCCATACAACATTTATCTTTGCTGTTAACTTGTATTAACTGAAAATCTTATTTTTATGTAAGTATAGCTGGGTTTTTTTTTTTGCCATACTTTGGTGTATCATTTTACATTCCTTCACTTTTTCTGCCATTATAACCTAAGTGGGTCTATTGCAGCTGTCATATCATGGGGCATTAATTTTTAATACATCTAATCACTCACTGTTTTTGTTTGGTAAGTTCATTTCTTATACAGTAAGGGTGAATATTGCTAGATGATGGTTCCTATTGCCATTTTATCGTGTGTTTTGTTGTTGTTCCATAGCTTCGTTATTTCTTTGTACTTATGTTTCTCAGTTTGTCATGTTGAGTTCTCGACCTAGGTACACATAACTCCTGCATTTGGGGATATTTGTTCCATTGAGAGCGAATGAAATGTCAGGGACTAGTTCATTTCTCATGAACATTGTCTTCATTAGATTCAGCTACAGTCCAACCTTTCCACACTCACGGTTGAAGTCGGCCAGCACTTGTGCCGCTTGGCTGGTGTTTGGTGTTATTAGAACAATGTCATCAACAAAGCAGAGGTGGTGTAGTTGCCAGCTGTCTATCTTCACTGCCATTCCTTCCCATTCCAGTCATCGCATGATGTTCTTGAGGGTGGCACTGAAGAGTTTCGGTGAAATGGTATCATCCTGCCGAACCCCTCTATGTCAATGATCACTTTATAGTAGAATGGTGAGATCCTGGTGGTGAATCTGTAATACAGCTAACGGAAGATACTGATGTATTGAGTTTGAATGCCGTTTGGCTAGGGTTTCAATGACCATTTAGTCTCAATAGAATCAAATGAATGAAAGTTAGACAGTGACATCTTGAACTCTCATGAAACCCCAGTGAGCTTGGTCACTGTGTGGATATAGTTGATCGTACTAGGTCGAGAACCTAACATGACAAATGACCTGTCACCCGAGCTGTTCAGGTGGAAGAGAGCGGCTTGGAACGCCTTTAAGAGCATTGCAGTTGTTAAGAGGACAAAGAACATCCAGCCCAGGCACATCTTTTCAACTCCACTGTCCTTCCTGCATTAACATAGACCTCAGAGACCTGGGCCCTACAAAAACAGGATAAGAATGCTCTTCAGGTCTCCCAAAGAGGATTCAAAAGAGCTATGCTTGGAATATCACATTTCACCCAAGTGAGAGAAGGAATCCAGAGTTCTGACCTCCATAGATGATCAAGAATCAAGCACGCTGTCTCATTTGCCAAGGCAATGAAAATCAGATGGACCGGACATGTAATGCAGTTTGGAGATGACTTCTGGTCTAGAACTGTTATGGACGGGATTTCATGGGACATCAAAAGAACATCTGGCTGTCCACCTAGGAGATGGTCAGACTTCTTCAAGACCTGAATGAACGGTTTGAGGCTCTTTGTGTTCCTGGTGTGAGCAGATGCCTTGGGGCTACAGTAGCATGAGACTGGGACGAATGGAGATGTTACTGATGCCTACTAGAGCAAATCAATGAGCAACAGGATGGCAAGTGATAGAAGTAACATGTTTCTCGGTTAATAGTCTTTATATATTAATAGAGTTTCCTTTTTATCTTTATATGTGCTTTGTGCCTTTGTTTCAGATGCTTGTATATGGTTACTCTGTGGTTTATATAAAACATCTAATATCAGATATTTTTCTCTGATATCTTGTCTTAGTTTGCATATACAGGTTCTATCTTTTACAGTATCAATTTTCATATTGTTTTTCGTAAGTTATACTCTTCCATACTTTGAGAACTTAGGAAAACAATGGTTTTCTTTAGTGAGTTTTAATCTTATTAAAATTTTTCTACACATTGGCATGTAATGCCATGTTTGAGATAGAGCTGTATCTTTCTGATGTTATTAGTTATGTCCTTGTTTATTTTTTGAACTTAATTTTTTATTTATATGGAAATTTTTTTCAGAAATTTTTTAAAGGGATATTAAATAGTGTTACTGTGTTTGGCATATTGAATACGTCACGGGTAGCTTGGAGATGTTACTGGGCCCGCTCGAGCAAATCAATAATAACGGGAGGACTGTGACCGTGATTAAATAGTGTTGAATTCCTTAAAGTTTTGTTTATCTGGGAAAGCCCAGTTCTATCTTCCTCATATGTGAAGTCTTCTTTGGTCAAATAGAGTATTTTTGGCTGGCAGTTTTGGTTAGGGGCCACACCCTGCAGTGCTCAGGGACTATCTATTCTGTGTTTGAAGGAATTGTGAGGTGGGTTAAGGGGACCATTCCTGGCTTGAAGCTTGAGGATCAAGCTTGGGGCTTCTGCATGCAAAGTGTGCACTCCAGCCCATTGAACTACCTTTTTGCCAATGTTGGAATTGTTTAAATTGAAGGTTTGGGACCACACATGACAGTGCTAAGGATTACTCTTGGCTTTGTGCTCAGGAGTTACTTCTGATGGTATTCAGATATGAGATGCCAGGAACTGAATTGAATCAGTTCTATACAAGGGAAATGTGTTAATCCCTAAAATTTCTCTCTGACCCCAAGGTTGACAGTTTTATCTTTGATTCATTGAATATGTGATTCACTCTCTCCTGGCCTGCAGAGTTTCTGCTGTGAATTCTGAGCATGACTTGTTGACATACCTTTATATAGATTATATGTTTCTTGGTAATTTCTGTATACATAACACTGATTTCTTGACAAGTTTTATAATTATATATCTTGGTTAGGTCTCCTTGACTTTAAACAATTAGATGTTCTATTAGCTTTCTTTTCAATTCTATCCTCAGGCTTAGGAAGGTCTTCATGATTATTTCAACAAACTGGTATTCCTTAATTTTCTCTTCATTTTCTAAGATATTCATTATACTTATATTACTTCTCCCTATGGAATTGTAGTAGCAGTGGTTGACACTGCTACTACAAAAATGGATTTTTCCTTGTTTTATGAAATAATCATGTATAAAACTACAGATTCTTGCGAAGTTAGGACCTATTTTTTTCTTTTACCACTATCACTTGTTCTGTACATTCCCTCAATGCCTGATCCAAATCATGAGACTTTGTTCCTGTCCCCACACCACTAACATGTCTCCAGTGTATGAAGGCACAGTCTTCTGTCTGTGCCATTTTTCATGCATTGTATGTGTCCCTGCTCTGAAATATGATGCTGGGACTCTGTCATCTGCATGTCCTTGCTAGGGCTTGTTGTTCTAGAATTTGTTTCTGGGATTCTCTCAGGCTGTAATCCACTGTCTCCCTGTCTCTCAAGCTCTCCTTATTTCTCCAGTCACACACCTGGGTAAGGACCTCTGCAGTTCTGTTCATCTTGGCATAGGTGAGGGAGTAGATGAAGTTAACCTAGACTGAACTCTGCTATTTTTTTTTTAATTTTGTTTTTTGGGACACACCTTGTGAGGCTCAGGGTTTATTCCTGGCTCTGCAATCAGAGATTACTCCCCACAGGGCTCAGGGGACCAGAAGGGTGCCAGAGGTCAAATCCAGCTTGGCCAAGCCCAAGGCAAACCAGCGCCTACCCGTTGGACTATGCCTTCAGCCCCCTGAACTCTGATTCTATTTCCCTATATTCCACCCTCAACAATTTTAGTATTTACATATTTTATATCTTTAGTTGGTTGAATCTCAAAGTACAATAAATTAAGTAGATTACCTCGAATCAACTCTTCTCCCTTCCACTTCTACCTTCATGGTATCATGGGACTTCTCTTTGTTTTTAATACCAGATCTTATTTTACTTCTCTTACACCCAAATTATTACAAGTTTCAAGTTTAGTCATTCATTCTTCCATTCAATTTTCTCTTTTTCAAATTCTTTTTATAATACTTCATCTCATCAATTGTATATGTTACATATTTTTGGTAAAAAAAAATATACAGATGTGCACTGTTTTATTGAAAGGCTTGAAACTTGTTTTTATTGAACCAAGAGCTATCTGGTATCTCCTGTGTTAAATGTAATTATATGCACACAGGTAACATAGACATAGTAGATAGATTACAGCCGTAGCTCCATGTGCCTTACACACCAGTAAAAAAACAAAAACAAGAAAAACAAACAAAAAAACCCACACACACACATCCTCTTGCCTTGTGGTTGCAATCCTTCCCTTTAGAAAGCAGGTCAGTTATGATGGTGTTCTTTGTGCCACCTACAAGGCTACTGACTGTTCAGGTAGTGACTCTCTGTTCTTGGTGTCTCTGGAGAAGTTGTCTGAGAGTCCTCCAGTTCCTTGTCTTTATAAGGAGAACTTTGCTGCTTGAAGAAACCTGATACAAACACAACCACAAATATGGAAAGCAGAGCACCTTGAATGAGTCCGATCAACACATCATTCCAGTGGTGCTTGTAATCAGAAATTTGAGAAAGGCCCACACAAATGGCGGCAACAAAGAGAGCATATTGCACAGTGGGGCGGAGGAGTCTTGTCCAATCTCCCTTCATCCTGGCTTGGAGATAAAGTGCCAGGAACAGCATAGAGTACATGGCAAAGGACGCGTGGCCTGAATAGAAGGACAGTCTGCTCTCTTTAACTTTATTTGGATTCCCTCGACAGCAGTAGTCTTCGATGTAGCCCTCACTGCATCTGATGCTCGACCAGTCTGGGTCACACACATACAAGAAGTGAGGCTTCAGCCTGCCTGTCAAGTGCTGCACGACGATCGTCAAGGACTGGTTAGCAGCTGCACCAAATAAAAATGTCCCCGTGGCTTTGTAAATAGTGGCTATGTAGCTATTCTTGATGAAGGAGTTTGAGTGCAAGTGTTTAAAGTAAACACTTAGGGTTTCCACGACAACCATAATGATAACACAGAAGGGAATGGTTATTCCACCTAATAACTCGAAAGGGATGGTGTCTTTTTTGTAAGGGTACTTGATGGATTCATCATCGCAGAAGAATCCCCGGTGGAAAGGGTGAGAGTGTAAGTTAAGAATCACATACGGCAACCCAGCCAGCAGCACACAGAGGACATCGAAGGCCACGTAATGTAGCCGCTGAATGTTGTCAAACATGGTCTTGATCTGGGAGACTGATAAGGTTAAGAGGATGAGGATGAGGATGAGGATGAAGAACAGGATGATGCGTTCGAAGATGAGGTTTCAGGCAGATTCCTGAAAGTCAGCACAGACTGACAGCAGTCCCAAATGATGAATTTTCACTGCCACAAGGAGAGCCAGTGAGGGTGGGATGGGAACGGACAGTGTGGTGAGTCAGGAGTGGCGTCTTGGACCCCTTCCTTTGCAGCTGGCTTACCAGCCACAGCTTCTCTCTTGACCGTTTTGTCGCTTCACACCTACCTGTACTATCCCTTGTTTCTGGTGCCCTCTCCAGCAGCCAGGACATCTAGACATGGGGACCAGGTGGCAAGAGGAATGAGGGCCGATGCTCTGGCTCTGAAGTGCGTATCATTGACTGAACTTTTTATATCTTGAAATTCTGTTGTTTATAGCTCCACTCTTTTGGACAGACAACTGCTGGTGGTAATTAATGTTAATCCTGAATTCATTTGGTTGCTTCTCTGAGTTTCCCTGTGTCCCTGAGTTGCCTTATTATAGCTATTTTGAGTTCTTTAAGGCTGAGGTCATAATCTATGGGATTCTGGAAGTTGTCATTCTCGCTTTGTGATGTCACATTACCTTGAAATCTTGACTTGCATTTTGGGATACAGTTCTCTGCACATTTGCTTCGTCTAACATCTTTTCATATATTTGTTAGTTTCTGTTTGTTTAAAAATCTAAATCAGTGATGTTTTATTGTTGAAGATGCCTTGAGCTTCAAGGTCATGGAGGGCTTTGCATATGTTTTCTTCTACATACCTTATAGATTTAGCTCTGATGTTGAGATCTTTAATCCATTTTTATCACTTTTGTGCGTGGTGTTAGAAAAAAGTCTGAGGTCATTTTTTTTACACGTAGCTGCCTAGTTTTCCCAGAACCACTTGTTGAAGAGGATTTCCTTGCTCCACTTCATACTTCTTGCTCCCTATTCAAAGATGAAATGTTCATATATTTGAGGGTCTGACCCGGGATATTCATCTTTATTCTATTTGTCTTCTGTTTTTGTTCTAATACCATGCCATTTTTGTTGTTGTTGTTTTATTAGTGAATCACTGTGAGGTACAGTTACAGTCTTACAAACTTTCATGATTGCGTTTCAGTCATACAATGATCACTTACCCATCCCTCCACCAGTGCCCATTTCCCACCACCAATGTTCCTAGCATCCCTCCCAACACCCCCACCTCGTCCCCCAACCCTACCCCACCTCTGTGGCAGGGCATTCCCTTTTGCTCTATCCTTTAGGGTGTTGTGGTTTGCAATAGAGGTATTAAGTGGCCATCATGTTTGGTCTACTATAGTCTACTTTCAGCCCGTATCTTCCATCCCAAGTGGGTCCCCCTAGTACCCTTTACTTGGTGGTTCCTTCTCTATCGGAGCTGCCTTTCCCCCCATTATGTGAGGCTGGCTTCTAAGCTGTGGAGTGATCCGTTTGGTACTTATCTCTACTATTCTTGGGTGTTAGTCTCCTATTTTATTACTTTATATTCCAAAAATGAGTGGAATCTTTCTATGTCTGTCTTTCTCTTTCCGACACATTTCACTTAACATGATCTTCCATGTTGACCCACCTATATGAAAATTTCATGACTTCATCTTTTCTAACAGCTGCATAATATTCCATTATGTAGATGTACCAAAGTTTCTTTAACCAGTCATCCGTTCTTGGGCACTCGGGTTTTTTCCAGATTTTGGCTATTGTAAACAGTGCTACAATGAGCATATAAGTGCAGATGTCATTTCTACTATACTTTTTGTATCTCTGGGATATATTCCCAGAAGTGGTATTGCTGGGTCAAATGGGAGTTCAATTTCTAATTTTTTGAGAAGCGTTCATACTCTTTTCCAAAAGGGCTGAACCAGTCGGCACTCCCACTAGCAGTGAAGGAGAGTCCCTTTCTCCCCACATTGGCACCAACACTAGTTGCTTTTGTTATTTTGGATGTATGCCAATATCTGTGGTGTGAGATGATCTCTCATTGATGTTTTTGATCTGCATCTCCCTGTTAGTAATGATGAGCATTTTTTGTGCCTTTTGGCCATTCAGATTTCTTCTTTGAGAAGTTTCTGTTCATTTCATCACCCCATTTTCTGATGGGATTGGATGTTTTCTTCTTGTGGAGTTCAACCAGTGCCTTGTAAATCCTTGATATCAATCCCTTATCAGATGGGTATTAGGTGAATATCCATTCCCATCCTGTAAACTGTCTTAGTATTCCGATCACTGTATCTTTTGAGGTGAAGAAGCTTCTTAGTTTAAGGTAGTCACATTTGTTTATCTCTGTTTCCACTTGCTTGGCCAATGATGTGTCACCATTAAAGATATCTTTAGCTTCAATGTTGTGGAGGTTTTGCCAATCTTATTTTTAATGTACGTAATGGATTCTGGTCTGACGCTGAGGTCTTTAATCCATTTTGATCTTACTTTTGTGCATGGTGTTAGGTAGAGGTCTGTGTCCATTTGTTTTGCATGTAGCTCTCCATTTTTGCCAGCATCATTTGTTAAAGAGGATTTCCTTGCTCCACTTCACATTTCTTGCTACCTTATCAAAGATTAGATAGTCATATATAGGGTGTGTCAGAATATTCAACACTGTTCCTTTAGACTGCAGCTCTGCTTTTGTTACAGTACCATGCTGTTTTTATTATTACCGCTTTGTAGTAGAGGTTGATGTTGGGGAAGGTGATGCTTCCCCATCTTCTTTTTCCCAAGAATTGCTTTAGCTATTCTTGAGGGCTTCTTGTTCCATATGAAATTCTGGAGCGTTTGATCCATTTCTTTGAAGAATGTCATGGGTATCCTTATTGGGATTGCATTATCGGGATTGCATTATTTTGTACAATGCTTTGGGGACTACTGCCATTTTGACAATGTTGATTCTCCCAATCCATGAGCAGAGGATATCTTTCCATTTCCTCGTGTCCTCTTTTATTTTGTGTAGTAGTGTTTTGTAATTTTTTTGTACAGTTCCTTTATCTCCTTAGTTAAGCTGATTCCAATGTACTTGAATTTCTGAGGCATAATTGTGAATGGGATTGCTTTTTTTATATCATTTTCTTCTCTCTCATTATGTGTGCATAGGAAAGCCATGGACTTTTGGGTAATATCATGCTATTTTAATCACTGCTGCTTTGTAGTAGAGTTTGAAGTTTGGGTAGGCGATGACTCCCATTTTCTTTTTCTCAAGTATTGCTTTAGCATTCAAGTGGAAACAAAGATAAACAAATGGGATTATATGAAACTAAGAAGTTTCTGCAACTCAAAAGAAACAGGCTCTAACACAAAGACAGCCATACAAGTGGGGAAAAAAATTACCCAATACTCACCTGATAAAGGGTTAACATCAAAGTTATATAGGACACTGGTAGAAATTTACAAGAGAAAAACATCCAACTCCATCAAAAAATAGAAAGAGGAATTGAACAGAAACTTTCTCAAGAAATTCAGATGACCAAAAGGCACATGAAAAAATGCCCTACATTATTAATCATCAGGGAGATGCAAATCAAAGCAATAATGAGATATCATCTTACACCAAAGAGACTGGCACACATCAAAAAAAAGAGCAACCAATGCTTCCATGGATGTGGGAAGAAAAGGAATCTCCTTCATTGTTGTTAGGAATGTCCACTTGTCCAACCATTTTTTGGAAAACAATATGGACATTCCTCAAAAAATTAGAAATTGAGCTCCCATTTTACCTAGCAATACCATGTCTGGGAATATAACCAAATCACAAGCAGTAACATCATTTGCACTTTGAAGTTCATTGCAGCTGTTCACGATAGCCAGAATCTGAAAACAACCCGAGTCCCCTAGAATAGATGCTGGATAAAGAAACTTAGTACATCTACACAATGGAATACTATGAAGCTGTTAGGAAGAATCAAGTCATGAAATTGTCTTATAAATGGATTGACATGAAGAGTATCATGTTGAGTAAAATGAGTCAGAAGGAGAGGGAGAGGTATAGAATGACTACATTCATCTGTGGGATATAATATATAAAAACAGTGGCTAGGAGAATGATTGGTTGGAAGTCAATGGTTGGAACTTTGCACAAGAGTTTGTCAGGGGTGAAGGGCACAAGTATAGGGATATATCTGATAATCTTTCGTTATCTGCATTGCAACTCATAAGACCCAAAAGGAGAGAGAGAGAGAGAGAGAGAGAGAGATAAGAAAAGTGCCTGCCATAGTGGCAGGTAGTGGTGGGATGGGGAGGTGAGAGGGAAACTGGGACCATTGGTGCTGGGAAAAGTACACTGGTGAAGGGACAGATGCTGGAACATTATATGACTGAAATCCAATTATGAACAAATTTGTAAATGTGTATATCACTCTGATTCAATTAAAAAATAAGTGAATTGAAAAAATAAAAATATGGATCAGCAACTCAGTGTGATCACATGCTTTTCATTTTTTTGTAGTTGAAGTAGTTTTATTTTCTTGATACTGATAGCTACTGTAGGTACTGCAGGGGGCCCTAGGACAATGGATGAGTTGCTTCTGTGTCAGTATGATGGAGTAGTATATGGTAATGGCTGCTGATCCCATTTGATTTTCTTGGAGAGGAGGCCTGGTCTGTAGGCAAAGCTTCAAAATGCCCCTCCTTTTTGGATTTTCCTACCTCAGACTTGGCTGTCCTTTAGCTGCCCTCACACTATCAGGTACCGTTATTGATCTGGTTGGGTGACCTACAAATGAAGTCGAAAGCACTTTTTTTTCTCTTTCACTGTGGTACTGGACCAAATGGTGCATCTCAACTATACAGCTCTGGGGTTCACCTGTATCAAAGCTATAGACAGCGATGCATCTATTTTCTCTCCCTAGGATCATTGGTCAGCCTGGCTACCTTGCCATCTCCATCCATCCTTTTGCATCTTTCACTCCACCAATTTTCCACCACACAGATGTCCTGGTATATAAACAAATGAGTCCTTGTTTATGAAAAG